CTGCTGAGGAATTTGTAGAAGTGCTGAGCCTAAAAATCCCATGAAAATAGTATTTTCAAGCAAGCAAGATATACAATGGTAATAGGATAAAGATTCTTATTGTTTGCACATGCCACATTCAGACCAGCATATTTAGTGGTCTTCATCTCTCAGATAACAGATTGCAAATGTAAAGAAAGTCTCAGTTAAAAATATTTTGCATCAACCAAGGAGAAGCTTTGATGCAACTTGCTTCCATCAACTTGTTCCCAAGGGACTTGGTCCACTGCCCACTTAAATCAGTTTGAGTCAGTCCATTGACTTCAATGGCTTTGTATCAGGCCCAAGAACATTAAACTTCATCTAATGAGATCCTTTTCAGTCAACATTCCATTTGACAGTTGAGCAAGAAGTTTCATGAGCTGTTGTAAGTTTATCAACTCTTTAACCAGAAGCTTCTTCTGCCCTTTAGTTGTGGGGTATCTATAAAAATGATTTTCCAAGGGAGTTCCCTGCATACATTCCAATGCATGGAGAATTGCTTAAGGATATATCAGTCGGCAAAAGATCATCCATGTCTGACTTGCATAACACTTACTTTAAGTGTAAATAAATCAAAAATAGGTTCAGTGCACAGTCTTATTCATATGGGACATGTCTTGGGAATGACCTAGTGGATGGAGAGAATATTTTCCCCTAAGTGTCAGTAAGTGACAGATCTCAATGACACCCTGTGCTATTTTTCTGTAGGGAGTACACCCAGAGTAGAAATATACCCAGAGTTACTAGGAATCTTGACATCTGTAACATTCCTGGGGCATTACATCAGCCCCTTTAGGTTATTTCAATTTGATCTACATATCCATGAATATAAAAAATCAATGTGCCCAATGGTCTAGTAAATCATTCACTCTAGCCTATGCTATTGTTCCTTTGCTGTGAAGTATAGGCATAAAAGAATCTTTGCTGTGAAGTATTGGCCTGAGAACTATGCCACTGGGAACAAGCCAATCTTAAAAGAGCTCCCACAGTGAACAGGTTAACAAACAGTCTACTAAAAAAAGAACTTCCCCTTTTACTTTCTTTCTAAAGCTGCTTATTCATTTTTAATATTTAAAGTTTCTAGGTACTCTTATGGAGCCCGGGCAAAAGAAAATATATAAATGAATGAAATATTTCAGTACAGATGCATGCAATGGAATGTTATTTTATTTTCAGCAATATCTAGGGCTAAAATCTTTACTGGAAAAATTTCACTAACATTAGTGGAGTTACCCAAAAGAACAGTTGGCCCATATGAACTTGTAACCAGCTGGAAAAGCATTTTTTTCTTCTTTTTTTAGACAGGAAATAGTCTATACAGGATGAGTTGATCCTTCTGCCCAAAAGATTTTATAAACAGCATTTTGCTAATGGGTAGTAGGACAAATCTTTTAAAATATTTTTAAATACTGCTTTTGTTTTATAAATATGAGCTTTATATTTTTATACAAAATATTTTTATAGTATACAGATGACAACGGCACTCTGAGCATCTATTGGTTCTTATCTTAAAAATTACTTGCCAGTGTAAGTTAGTGCAAAATTAGAGTACTATATTTCTTAAGATAGGTTATGAATTATGCCCATACATCTGAGACTAGACTATCAGCCATGTGCATATCTACATGCAGCAACTTATTAAAATATGTAAATCAATTAATTGTGATATCATTCCACCTAAAAACAATAAGAAGAACTGCAAGGCTGCACCAGGTGACTGAGAGAGAATCTTGCTGGCAACTCAAAAGAAGTGGACTAGGATCATATATGCCTTGGCTGTCTCCCCACCTTCCACCCCCCTTCAGCATGACATATGTGCATGTAAAAAACCCTTTCTTGCAGCTGCCACCATGCATTAATTAGTAGCTAGGACTCTGGAATGACATATGCACTTAGCTTCCAAGAAAGATTTGCAAAACCTTGCAAAAACTCCTGTTGAGTTTGAAATTAATGGGGAAAAAACCTCCTATTGCCAGTAACCATGTCTTTTGGTGGAAATATTTTGCACCTTTATCTCAGAAAAGAAACCGTATTCTCCCGCCTGATGGAGGAACAGAGTAGGAGAACTGATGTGGCACTGGAACTCTTTTGCTGCTTTCCATATTCTAGAGCCTGGCAGGAGCAATTTTGGCGATCAGTGTAAAGCAGGGCTGATTCAGGGGATAATTGACCCATAAAAGCTCCCTGCCCCAGGTGCTGTATGTACATCCTACTTCAAAGGGAGGCAGCATAAATTCATTATAGCCAGCTCTGTATCATCCCCACACTACAGTCCATATACTACAGTTCTTCCTGGAATGGAAGTCATATGTTCATGTTCTTGCACCTCCTCTATCCAGTGATGCTCAACCCCCCTGGCCCTGAAAAATGAATGAATATCTAGATGACATCTTCATCATTTGGATGGAAAACCTGCAATCTCTGATTTGATTTCCATCACAAATTCAATAATCATCACCCCTCCATCAGGCTATCTTTTGAATACTCCAGTACGAACATTTCCTTTTTGGACACTATGATCTATAATCAGAATGGTAAAATACAAACTAGCATATACAAGAAACCCACAGACCAACATACATATCTGCACAGAGCCCACCATGCATTTGCATTTCCACAGACTTTTATTTGGCATATTGGTTTCTAGCCCATCCAAGAGAACACAAAACAACAGCAGACTCTCCCTATTCTTGGAGAAGGGTGTTTGTGCCCAAAAGCTTGCAAAGAACAATGTTCCCAACTATTTAGTCGGTCTAATAAAAGATATCACATTTACCCAAAGAACCTTGTCTGCCTATGTCCTAAGACCAACACAGCTACAACTAGCACCTCTGTCCCTAACATGAATATCTGTACTGCTTTACTTGCTCAGATACTATTGAATAATCAATATTTTACTTGCTTGGTATTTTCTTTTATTGCTTCCCTGAGTAAATATAACCTAATTTTGGTGTTTGTAATGAGTCCCAATTGACAAACGATACAGATATATATTTGGGGGAAGTAGCTAAAACAACTGTACACCCAACATATTGCCAATAATACAAGGCCTATCAAAGCCCTTTGAATATTTTTTGTTTGGTTTCAATGGATTTGATCAAGTTTATGGCTTTGATCATGTTTTCTGATTCAGAAAAGTTATGTAGCATTATGTGATTGAGGAAAAAATAAAAGAAGACTCAGGTGGCGATGATCAAGATAAGAAAATGGCCAGGTTACTTACTATTACTAAGTAAACAACAGTTAATTTTTCTCTATTGTGTTTGGTGGGGAATGGAAAAGGAGGAAAAAAATATATCCTAGTGCTCAAATAAGGGAAAGATTCTCAGCTGATATAAAGGACATCCTGTTTGGGCTCTACTACGCTAATCTTACAAAACTAGTTGAAATCAGATAGTATTCAAGCTGGGGAAAACAGATGTTATATTGAAAGTTTTGCCTCCATTTTTCCATTAAGATTTTAAAGAATCAGCCTTTATAAACTGTATAATCCTTTATGATTTTTAAATAATGTTTTATAGACAGATGAATATGATCAACAATTAAAGAACTGGACAAATCATTGAAATGTAGACTGCAGGAGGGATTTGAATATGAAGTCAGCTATAATACAAAATGGACTAGTACATACAATCTAGTACCACTACAAAAAATAATAATACAGTATTTTCCAATGATAGTCCAAGTACCTAGGTAATTCTACATACGTAAAAGCAGTGTATATAATCAGTACCTTTGCTGTACTGCCAGCTTGCATCCTTCTAGAGGTACACCATCACTGATCTCAACTCTGATTGGCTGACCAACAGCTAGACAGCTCTGTACCATAGCTCGATTCAGAATCATTCCAGCCTTCCAATGAATGGAGAAAAAAGGGTTTGAATAAGTTAAAAGAACCAGAAAATTCAACAATGTGTCACAAATAGAGAGGTCATTATGCCTGGATAACCCAGGATATTAACAGTTGCAGAAAGTGAAACACTATCCACAACTTAGCAGTCAATGAGCCCTGCTCAGAACCAGTGATCTTCTGTACAACAAGGGTGGCATTTTACAGTTCAGTGCAAAATAGAACAGACCCTTGATATCTTCATTTGTCCTTTTTCTGTGCATATTTCACAGTGCAACGATTTAGGGTCCATAACGTGTCACTTGCTATACTTATAACTACAGACTATTTGAAATATGTATGCACAGAAAAAAAGTTCAGTGAACTGCAAAGATTGCAACAAAACTATAGTCTTTGAGTCAATTTAAAGTTTACTCTTAAGTCTGAAACAGTGTTGGTTAAACATCTTTAAAGACTAGTTTGAACTACTTTTGTTTTAATACATAGACAACTTGCTGTAAAAGCATATAATTGACAGCAGCGTTAGAACTGAAAAATTTAACAGTATTCTTTATGGCTAGGGACAGAAATTACACATAAACTGGTATAAGCAGGGACCTACCAAATTCACAATTTCTCAGATTCTGTGGATTCCATGAAATCTGGCATTACCCAGGGAATCCATAAAATCCAAGGGGAAAAAAAAACTAACAGAAAATAAAACATTAGCTCCCCAAAGGGAGTCAGCCTTCCTTAGTGTGCTGTGGCAGCCCCCTGGGGTAGTGGGGGCTGCCCACTCAAAGCACTGCTGGCAAGATGGTGGCTGCCCTTCACTGGCCATGAGGGGTGCCTATCATGTAGCCCTGTCCTTCTCCACCAATTGGTGGTGAGAGGTAGGGATGCATGATGGACAGCCCTCACAACCAACCAGCAATGAGGGCCATAGCCACACATCAGGCAGCCCCTGCAGCTAATCAGTAGTGTGGGGCAGGGGTGGGGCCACCAGAGCTCCTCAGCCAATCACAGGCACTGCACTCCACCTGCAAAACATCTGCCCAGGCCCATGTTTTGCCTGTGAAATTGGGGGGGGCATCCCCCATGAATTAAGTAGGTTCCTGGGTATAAGTAATTGGAGACTGGTTCAAATTTGTAACACAGCAGAAGTTCAGTGCATATAAACCACTTTCAAAAAGGCCCAAACCAATTTAAGATAAACCTGGATGGGTGTAGTTTAGGTTGGATGGGTGTAGTTTAGGTTAAATAAGGTTATTGAACTTCTGTCCCAGATCCCCTCCAGATTCAAGTTAACTCACAGTCCTCCAGCATCCCA